CACGGAACAGCTGTAGTTTTGAACTGCTGACCTTATGGTTCACAGCCCGATTCGTAACCCCTACACTACCAGAGCTCCTACACCGAGCAGATAGTGTCCCTGAAAATCAACCATCTTTAATGAAGGTCCATGAAGATGACAGTTATAGGGACAGACTATTTTGAGACACTAAAATGGGACCCATTTTTATCCTCCCACATATGGAGTCTCCCTTTGAACCACAGATTCATGGCTCAGGAATGTCAACACACAGGCCACGAAGGGCACCTATGTTCTCATATTAAACAAGAAACTGGAATCATCATAAATTTCTCATTCCACATGACAAATAGACTCAGAACTGAAAAAAGTTGAGCCCTCTTAATGTCTGTCATTTGATAAAACCAAATTATAACTTCATAAGATTATATTTTATGATAAGCCAGATTGTAACAGTGTTTTACCAAGAATATCATATTTACCTCCTGTGGCATAACATTCTTTCCCTTTCCCTCTGTGTTTTAAACTGCACTATTTGATATCATTAAGAGACAGTTTTATCCTCCTTGTCAAGTTCTTTGATTAGAATACTGTTCTAAAGTGTAGTTCACTGGATCTAAGGAAAATCGTTTCTAAGATTGGCATGCAACATTGTTAAATAGATGTTGGTGTTATTGAGCACCATGGAGTCTGTTCCAACTCATAACTCTGCAATGGGATCCTGAGGAGTGGCTTATGATCTTGAACTGCCCACTTTACACTTCAAACCCACCTTGTTGTCCAGCACACTTACTCACAGTGTCACACCAGGACTTCTGGTAGCCTGATAATAGTAGATATCAGACAAATGTCATCTCAAGCCCATCCCTTATTTGAAGACACATGATGGGGAAATGAGGCCTTTGTTTTTCTAGATTTCTGGGTGAGAGGCAAAAGGATACCCATCTCCACATCATCAGGGTCTCTGATGCATTATTAGAATGGCAGGGCTTTGTCCCATGTGTCCTGTCAAGACCTCAGTCTTCCACAGTCAGTAGTTAGCACTCATGAGAGCAGCCAAGACTTAACCTCTTTTCTTCCAAACACAGACCTACTTTATGATGTTTTGCTCACAGGAGAAACACAACATCCCCTTTCCACACTACTGTGCCCACCACAGGATTTGCATATTGTTCCACTGGGAAAACCTGCCTTTGCAAATTTGAGTTAAAACGACAGCTTTCATCTCCCTTTACTTATCAGAACTCCTCAGTTCAGCTTCTCAGAATGATGGTCACTGCTCAGCTCCTGGGGCTCTTACTGCTCTGGATCCCTGGTGAGGACCTAGGGGAGATGAGAAAGAGAGGGGATTAGGAGGGAAAGCTTTAGGGACATCAGTGGTTCATAGATGGATTCTGTTGGTGTGGTGAATGGACATACACTATTTTTATTTGCAGATGTGAGGAAGAAATGAGAAGGAGACAGGACTTATTTTGTGGTTAAAACAGTAAGAATGTAATAGGGGGTTGGTGGGGACTAACTGGACAATTTGATACATGAAGAATCAAAAATAGTTAAAGGAAAAAGTTTATAAACTTCTTCTATCTATAAAATAACAATAGCAACAGAAAGGAATCATGAAAACCCCTGATGATGTTGGCACATAACTTTGATTTCCTTCTCATTATTTTAGTAACCAGTGGGGATATTGTGCTGACCCAGACTCCGTTCAGCGTGTCCATCATGCTTGGACAGCCAGCAACCATCAGCTGCAAGTCAAGTCAGAGCCTTGTAGATAGTGATGGAAAGACCTATTTGTACTGGTTGCAGCAGAAGCCAGGCCAAGCTCCGCGTCGTCTGATCTATCAAGTTTCTAACCGGGACACTGGGGTCCCAGACAGGTTCATTGGCAGCGGGGCAGTTACAGATTTCACTCTGAAAATCAGTAGAGTGGAGGCTGAGGATATTGCAGTTTATTACTGTGCACAAGCTACAGGATTACCTCCCACGGTGATACAGCCCTGCACAAAAACTTGCAATGGTGTGGCCCAGCTGACAAAACATGTGTGTTTTTTTTCTGAAAACAGACATTGCACACTGTCTAGTGTAGTGAAGAGGAAGATATGGGGGAACTCAAGGCACTGAGTTGTGACTGAGGGCAGGTTAATGGGCAGATTTATACAGGCAGGATTATATCTACCGCCAGGACACATTCAAGGTTCAGCTTGTATTTCTATTTCTACCTGATGATGAGGTGTTGATATCCATAAATCTATGACTTGGTGGATCAGACACAACTCAGTCATAAAGGAAAGTGCATATCACATGGCTGTTTGATGTCCTATGGTAAAGGCTTATTTGGTGTTGTCAAGGGTTAAGCAAGTCCCTGTGTCCTATTGTCATACCGTGGGATAAAGCACTGGAACAGTAGGCCAGCTTGAGCCACAAGGTCACTGATTAAAACTCACTAGCTGTTCTTGACAACCCTGTCCAGGGTTGCTATGCGCTGGAACTCTCTCAATGGTGCTTAACAAAAATAGTAAGGCAGAACCCTAACTCAGGAAGAGGGCTGTTACCTGCAGAAGAGATCATGGCATTGTCCCAGTACTCTAAACGTGTGTCCTGGGATTCTTCTGTGTTTTATGTGACAAGGAAAGCTACTACCATTTAAAAACAAGCTGGAGAGCTAAGTACCTGTGGTCATGAATTTATGCTATTTGCTTAGACCCACATTTACAGAGAGAGCCTCTTGTCTTGTCTCTGCATCGGGAAATGTGTACACTTTCTATGCTGACTTGTGAAAGTGGACCAAGAATTCACCAGTCCTTTACCTCTATAGAAACCAAAAACTTTTATAACCAAATGACTTGTACATTTTTCTCATCTTAGAAATAACAATTCATAATATTCAAATTGCTATTCAAAAGTCCAATTTTTGAGATTAAGTTTGTGTGATACAACTAGTCAAACACCATATTTTGTCAATGAAGAAAATTCTGATCTCACCAGAGCCAGGTGCAAAGATTCCATAAAGAAAATAATGCTGCTTCTTCAATACACTGATGATGGGAGAGGTGCTCAGCATAGACAAAGAAATTTCTATCATTTTGCTACTATTCTCTGAAGTTTTCATGAAAATATGTTACTGTTTATTCACGTTTTAAAACTGTCATTTCTATTTTTTTACTCTTATTTCAGTTTTGTTTTTCTTTTGGAGAACAACTGCATGGAGTTTCTTACTCTTGCACCGTGGTCCTGGTATCTGTACTATTACATCATTAAGTATTCTTTTTTTTTTTTAAGTGTTTTATTGTGAATTATATGATAGTTTACATGGGAGAACATTAGATTTACATTCATTATTCTTTTTTTTTTTAAGTGTTTTATTGTGAATTATATGATAGTTTACATGGGAGAACATTAGATTTACATTCATTCTATTATACATCATATCATTGCCATGGTTACAGTCCCCTCCATGCATCATCAACTGACCAAACGGTAGACCCTGCAAGCCTGCCCCCGACACTATCTCCCCCCTCCACCCCCAGTCTTCAGCACACAGTTGCTCTCCCTCTCTGGATCTAAAGTCTCCAGCTGCTCCATCGCTCCACATCATCTATTTTTCTCTGTCTCCATTTTTATAATGGTTAACTTAGCCCATTGTTTTTGTGTTGATTTGGATTTATAGTGATGCTACAGAACCTATTAGAACTGACCTGTAAAGTTTCCAAGGCTGGAGAATTCATTTTGCTTGGATCCATTATCAAGACTCGTGGAAACAGAAGTCAAGAATTCAAATTATATCCCTGTCCCTTGGAGCAGGAAATGCAGCTGCTGTGAGCATTGGTGGCTAAAGACCTGGAAGTGAAAGGAGGGGAGGGGGGCTTCTGAGCTATGTGACCAGGAAGCTACTGCTCATCTCTTCCTCTCTTCAGCTGCATCCTGTCTTGGAAATAACTTTTATACTAAAACTAAAGGAGAAAAAAATGTACTTTCTGTCCCTCACACCTTCCTTTCCTGCAGTCATCTGTCCTGTGAGAGAGCCCTGCATGGCCACTCTGCTGTCAGGGCCAAGCTGCTGAGCCCTGGCTGCCATGGGGCATCCTCTCCACAGCCCCTAAGTATCCCTTCTCTGCCCAGCCCTCCTTGTCTTTCATCTTCACGTTCTTCTTCCCCAAGGTGCTCAACAACAAGTGACAGCTGCAGATCTACAACCAGAGCTTGCAGGAGCTAATGGCAGAATATTATAAACATCACTGATTTCCAGAGAAGCTGTGCAAAGGATCAGTTTACGGCTTTGTTCACATCAACCATAAAATGGATCCTTTGATTGGGCAAGCAGCACAGCGGATTGGACTGTGCAGTCAAGAGCTGTTCAAGTTTCTTCCCAGGGAACTTCCAATCTTGGTTGACTCCTTCAAGTGTCCTACACAATCAGAGAGGATGGCTCTAGCTGTGTGCTGTATGAAGACTCACCAGCTGGAGGTAGCACACAAAACAGCACCAACATGTAAATGGTAGAATCACAGCAGAATCAGCTTTAAGGAGGAACTTCACTTGGCAGAAAGTGTTCTTCCACTTAGTCTGACTCTATCAGACTAAGATGTAGTCTATGGATGGATCATCTTACAATGGATGCATAAATTTGATTTTTGCTTTAGGTGGGTTCCTCTTGGGGACGGAGTATGGAATTTAAATCATGTCACAGTTTTGAAGATTTGGCACAAGATAGAGTGGTACAAAATTAAATAAATAAATAAATGACAGTGCCATAGAGTTCAGTGAACTAATTTCCAGAGCTCAGAAGCATCAACCTGTGTAATGGCAAACAGACTTATAAAGCAGCTGACCCATAGCAGATGTAGATGGAAAACACCCCCGACTTTGGCTGGCTTAAAAGAAAGCGGTAGGACACAACATTCAGAAATGAAAAAGGATCAATTGTTTATCTGGAGATGACTGATTATCAATGACATATACTCAATGTCTGGTCCATTTCTTTCCAAACTAGACCCATGCACTAATATTTTTTTTTTTATTACTATTACATCTTACTGCATATCCAGTTAGTAGTGCTTATAATTGGCCACATCAGAAGCATCATTCCAAGTAGGGTTGATTTTAATATAGAGAATTCAAATCTAGACACAATCTTTCAAATCCCTAGGGATGGATGGTAGGGATGCACATAAAACAAATGACTGATTCCCTGGTGGTTCTCCAGAATCTGAGTGCATCTACCACTGACCATATGGTTATAACCCTGTGGCTTTTGGCCCATCTAGGAACCTAGGTGTCATTGTCTGATGTTCTCAACGAGACCTTGTAAATTATTTGTTCAGTTTTGAACTGGTGATAATTTGCATTTCCACCATAGATATACGAAATCAGAATGAACAGTTTAAGACAATTCCTAGTGAGTATTTGTATAGTAAATTTGGACAACCATTGCTCTACAGGTGGTCTCAGAATTGGCTCCTAAATATCAGGATCAGGACTGCCTGGGAAATTGTAAGAAATGTACATTGTCAGCAGATGTTTGAAACTAGAAGTAACTGTTTCAAAGTCTTCCTCTCCACTCCCTTCAACACATCATCATCAGGTGGTTCTCTGCCCTCACCTCTTTCTGCTTGTCTGCCCACTGTGGCTGATGAAGCATGTTGAAT